GAATCTGAAAATTCAAAGTCAACCTGATTAGAACTGATTTGAAATTTGATAGTTTACACTTTAATCAACTGTTCGTCCAGCGAGACGTTAACGTCCGTGTATCTTAACAATCTGACTATTTGTATTTTTCCTTGGCCACAGGTCAATACACTTATAATACTTTGTAAGCTCCTAGCGACGTAACGTGATCTTGGCAAGGTTTGACTTTAAAATTACAAGACACCAGACAATACTTCTTTATAAATGAAAACAAGAATTTATTGGCTATTCTAGATTACATTAAACTACGCTAAAACACACACATACACACACATACAGTTCTAAAGAATGATGTTAACGGAGTTCTGAGGAAAGTCCAAAGTTTTTTTACTTGCAACCTCAGAAAATCAAAAAGCAGAGACTTGGCTTATGTTTACTGCTTAAAATTAGCTCGGCACCAGTTCAGCAGATAAAAGATTTTGTTTGTTTACTTGCGTTTTTGGGTGACAGCTGAAAAGCTGAGTTTCCTTGTTTGGCTGCTTGAGGTAATTATGTTGCTGATTGGTTACTGAGATGATGTCAGGACGGCATCCCTTTGGGGAAGCCCTCCGGAGATTGGTAGGTTTCTTGATGACGCAGAGGCTTGAGCAGTTCTTCTGAAAAGTCTGAGTTTGCAAGACTTTAAGTTCCTGAAGATCTCTGGCAATCACGAAGTTGCAACTGAAGTGTTTGAGTTTTGGGTGACTAATCGCTTTGATGGTAAGCATGTGAGCACAGGTTGGAGTGCTATTAACACAGCGAAAGGCGAAGAAGCAAGCAAGCACTCGAGTCTGTCTTGCATTGGGTTTTTGATCCGCGGCATAAGTCCGTCCCACGGCGCGATCTTCCAATCGACTTCTTGCTAGGAGGAGCGTACATACATTAACACGAGGCTTCAATTTATTATGTGGAGAAAAATCTTTGCGAAGATTTGGTTGATGCGTCTATAAAGTTTCTTAATGCGAGTATTGTACATACGTCCCACTTCTCATTCATACCAAAGTTTCTCACATAAAATAAGCTTTCATTCAAGCTCAAATAACAGGTATTTTGCATACACGGTAATCGTAATAACTAAAAGGAAAAGGTATAAGGCAAAGATTAAGATATCATGGTTTCAATAACACATCAAACAGAAAGCATATTATTTGGGAGTATATTGCTCCGATACTTTCAATGATTTTAAATGATTGTCTTATGAATTGTCTGTGTAAGTTCTGTTTCTTTGTCTGTGACAGGAGAAACACGTGCTTTTCTGGAAAGTAGTAAAAGGGAAAAGGGGAGGTGTCCTGAGGTCATGCCCATGTAACGAGTGTAGATCTGCAATCCTTCTGCTGGACAGGGAGCTCTTAATCTGTCGCTTTCTGTTTATCGGATTTAGAACTGTTGTCTCTTAGATAGTTATTTAGGCTGAAACCAGTCACGTTACACTGCACCTCTGATCCTTGAGGGGTTTTCGGACAAGGGGAGTTTCTCCTCCCCTGGTGAGTTAGGGTTTAAGCACTGTTTTTATTTGAGTCTCTTGAGACCATAAACTAGATGGGACAGGAACTGCTGAGACACTTCACTGACCCTGCATGAGTTTTACGACCGCAGATGGCTGCATAGGGTGTTTCTCAGTTTGTCTCAATGGAATGTGATTGTTTCATGTGTGACTCAATAGTGTAAGTGGGTCCGTTTGGAGACAGAGATCCTACAACAATTAAAGTAATATAGAAAAAGTAACACAGAAATTAAAAAACAATGGACTTGTGACAAGGCCCCTGAAATAATCAGGCCTTCATTTTCATTTAGTGATGAGTGACTTTTTGCTAGAAAAAGAGCAGGAGAAATACCAAGCAAGTGTCTCGGAGCCTGCAAAAGCTATGAAAAGAGTGACTTTGTATCTCACCGAGTAAGATGCACCCTGCAGAAGTGACATGCATGGTTGTTGTCCTCACTGAAACTACCGACTGTAGCCAAAGCACAAGAAACTCATTTAGCCTTTTCCAAGACCCATATTTACAAAACATATACCTCTTGGAATCCATACTCGGGTCTCATGAGATCAAGTCAATCATTTCAGATCTAACAGGTGCTGCTAGAGAAGGAGTACAGTGAGAGTGTCTGGTTACCACAGTGAAGTTTGGTAGTAGTAAAGCTCTTATATAGGGATGTATGAGTGATGAAGGTTTATTAATCAATGCTGTCATGAATTCACACAACTTGAAACAGAACTGCTACTCTCTCCTCGTTTGCTTGCGTTGGTGGGCATTTTTTCAACATGACAATGACGATATGTATTCTCCCAAGGTGAAAGGACAGTAGAAACTGATGTCAACACAAGAAACTCATTTAGCCTTTTCCAAGACCCATATTTACAAAACATATACCTCTTGGAATCCATACTCGGGTCTCATGAGATCAAGTCAATCATTTCAGATCTAACAGGTGCTGCTAGAGAAGGAGTACAGTGAGAGTGTCTGGTTACCACAGTGAAGTTTGGTAGTAGTAAAGCTCTTATATAGGGATGTATGAGTGATGAAGGTTTATTAATCAATGCTGTCATGAATTCACACAACTTGAAACAGAACTGCTACTCTCTCCTCGTTTGCTTGCGTTGGTGGGCATTTTTTCAACATGACAATGACGATATGTATTCTCCCAAGGTGAAAGGACAGTAGAAACTGATGTCAAATAGATGTAAATAGAAAGTGATGTCAAAAGTCTACATTTATTTCTTAACAAGTGTTGTTTGTTCAGCAGTAACACCAGTGATACAACTCCACTGGACAGCTGTTTCCATTATTTTATTTATAATGTTTACATGGCGTTTTAGCTTTTTTGTTTTGTTTAGTCTTTATATTATTGACATCATATACTAGTGACATTATTGCATTTCTAATGAGGGATATGTTTATTTTTAACAAAGTAAACCTTAAGACATGATCATATAGGATTAATTAATGGCTGAAATAAGTATAAATGTGTGTAAGAGATGTCACATGGACTGTTGCTGTATTTGTAGATTGTCTGGCTGTATGGTGACAGAGGAAGGCTGTGGTTATGTGTCTTCAGCTCTGAGTTCAAATCCTTCACACCTGAGAGAGCTGGATCTAAGCTATAATCACCCGGGAGATTCAGGAGTCAAGCTTCTCTCTGAAAAACTGGAGGATCCAAACTGCTCATTGGATAAACTGAAGTATGTCAAGCATGATGTTTTATTATTTAAATTCCTCAGTGTCTATGTGTGTGTGTGTGTATATATATATATATATATATATTTAAAAAAATGTATTGAGTTCCCGCCAAAATCAGTATTATATCTGGTCGGTATTGAAAAGTCGCAAATCGCAAAATGTGATGTCCGCTGTGCAATTCTGTCATGTTTCTCCCTATCTTTCCAAACCGCGACAAACACCAGTCTCCCTTCTCTGCAGAATGCGATACATCCGCTCAACCAATCACAGCGCACCATTCCACGCATTGTAAACAGTTACTGACAAGCTACGCAATATCGCGTTCATATTAATCGCAGATGAATCATCTTCAATTATGAACGCGATATTGCGTAGCTTGTCAGTGATCCACGGCTCTGTGGATTAAATGCCGCTCCATCTGAAAGCATGTGATGAAGATTTGTAATTTGTAGAAATGTAATCTATTAATATGATTAGTATTGACCAATTTATGAGGCTGTCATATGTGGATCAACTTACTTTGTTGTGTATTTTCAACAGCTTCAATATGAAAAATTACTTTTATATTGATTCAATGGATTTATTGCATTTTAGCAAACGTGCCGCGCCGCTCGTTTCTGGTGTATACACAGAGTAACAGATTTTCTTGTTCCAGAAGCCATTTCCGTTGGATATATGGCACAATAGGGAAGAAAGCCAACTTTTATGCCGGCTTTAACTTTGTCCTCTCATTTCCTCTTTACATATTTTTCAATGCAGTCATGATTCTCTGTGAAAAATAATCTGATTTCCAGTGCTCATAAATTGACAGCCCTCCTCATCTAGTTCTTTTTTTATGTGGCCATAGTGATCATTAACAACTGGTAATAGTCACTAATTCATAGTTTACTGCTATACTTGGTGTAAAATCTAGTATTATTGCAAAACTGCAAGATTTGTAAACGATGCATGGCGGGTCACATATAAAATATTTGAATAGTCAAGCTGCAGCCTGTTTGAAATTCATCGCTGGGCCATGATTGGCCCCGGCTGGACTTTGGACACCCCTGATAAAAGGACTCAATAAATAAAAATTTTTTTATCACAATTAATCACATTTGAGTTATTTTATTTTTAACATTTGGTGATTTTGGTGTCCTTTTGAAATCTCCAAAAAGAGTGTGATTAATTGTGATAAAAAAAATTTTTTATTGAGTCCTTTTATCAGGGGTGTCCAAAGTCCAGCCGGGGGCCAATCATGGCCCAGCGATGAATTTCAAACAGGCTGCAGCTTGACTATTCAAATATTTTATATGTGACCCGCCATGCATCATTTACAAATCTTGCAGTTTTGCAATAATACTAGATTTTACAGTATGTGTACAGTATGTGTAGAGTGCATCAACAAAGAGCTTGTTTACATTTTAGGCAAGTTGTGATACCGATCAGGATCACACAGAGATGCCAAAAAAACCTAAATCACCTTGAGATGACTGTATATATTTACTACAGCACACAGATCTATTCAGAATTACTAAAAACAGTACATGACAAATCAAACCATTATCCTGAAGGTGTGTGGAAACAACACAAATGTACTGAAATGTGTCTGTGCTTAAATACAATGTGCCTAGAAAGTCAGTGTGTTGAGAGCACACATAAATGGTTTGCTTGTGCATCATTATAACAGACTCAAACGTGCTTACTGTACAACTCCTGTATGTCACTGCAGTCAGTATTACTTTGATTGCAATCCTCATCCATCACAACTTTACTAGTGAGATGCTGGTTTCCTTTATCCAGCCGAGAAGCGTAGTTTGCACTTCATCTGGCCAGTAGTGGGATGTTTTGATGTTCCGTTCAGTCTATATTTCAGACACAGTGCGATGTCTGAGGAAACAATCACTGAATATGACAGGGCTCGTGGTTTAAAGGCAAACACACACTGGACTGAATAATTAAGGCTTTCAGCCTGGTTCTCTTTACATTAG